GTAAACTAAAATTAATAGGAATTTTTTAAAGTTATTTTTACAAATAGCATGGATGACAATATTATAGTTATTCGATCAATCTCTCATAACGAGTATCTGTTATTTTTCTGCATATCACTCCTGCATTCTATCATTTATTTATGTGGTTATTAGTAGAAAAAAATTGCACGATATCTTTTTATCTAATGCTCATAACATGCAGAAACAATAAAATTTACGAACGAGTTACATGAACAGATAAATTAACTTTTAGTTAATTATTGTTTTATTTTTAAATAAAGACAACAAATTCTACTTACATATCTCGAATACTACAAATTTACATTTAATAATTTTTACTTATGTCATGTCAAATATTTTTGAAAATAATAAAGAATTTAGATCAATTGTATTAGGTTTGAAAAATTATGGAAAAATTGCCGAATCGATTAAAGCAAGTGATAGATTAAGATGGAGAGCAGATGCACAAAAAACATTGACACGCGTTTTTTTCTTATTATGTTTAAAGAATTTCGGTTTGTAAATCTTGTTAAAATTATTGTTTTTTATTTAATATCGTTAATAAAACAGTAGAAAAAACGTCACAAATAAATCAAAAAATTCCCATTAATTCTAAGTTACTTGTATCTCTCTGATTATAACAGTTAGAAAGCTGAAATTCTAATGTAAAGTAGATCTAGATGTCTAGTATATATGCTACAAATATCAGCCTGTTCTACTAAGAAAAAAAAATATAAGAAAAGAATATTACTTGAAGGAGATCAGAGCTTGTTGGACACTCTTTATTGAAGACAAAAAAGAGTAGCACGTGTCTAAAATCCATCAGAATAATATTTCTTTTCAAACAAATGCATTAAAAAGAAGAAAAAGAAAAAAGTACTGAGAAAAACAAGTTAATTAAGTACACTTAATATGGAAGATTCTAGTACGGTTCCATTTCTATTCGGTTAAGTCAACGAATTGACTGCATCGCGTATTGTATAATAAAGAATATTCTTGGCCTATAAATATCAAAATAAACTGTTTGATTTTAATTTTAAAAAAACATCAATTCCGACCTGCAAGATATCAGCATGATTTGTGTGAGTTTTTGATAATGATCGAAATTCATTTGTTGTTATTAAACATCGATCAAGATTTTCCGGTGAAACAAAATCTTCAGCAATTTTTATACATGAATGTAAATTTTTTACCTATAATATAAGATTTATTATTGAGTCCATAAATAAAAATATTTAATTCAATTTTAATATAATAACAAAAAAAACAACATATATTCATTAATTACTTGATGTGGTGCACCACTTGGAATAAAAACTGCATCACCAAGAAATTGTAGTATTGGATATGCTTCTACATTACTACAATCTTTTAATTTTTCTAAATCTTCTCGTTCTAAATAAGTTGTTTGATCATGTATAGAATCAGAACCAGTCGTTTTACGTTGAGTCTAAGAAGAAAAAAGAAGTATTAGATCAGATTAAATTAGATACAATAAAACATACTCGACCAATATAATCACGAATTTTTTTTACGTCATCAGAGCGAAATAAATGCCATAGTGCACCAGGTTTTTCTCCATTTCTTAGTCGTTGTAATTGTGCTTCATCAATATTTGAATCAAGTATTTCTGCTTCTACTTCTACAGTAAACAAAGCAAAACAACACAAATGTTTTTTTTTAAGTTGGTTTATAACATTTTTTTTTAATTTCGTATTTACGTCGAATTTCTTCCTCTTTATCGGATCCATCATCACCATGGCCACCTATACCAACATAGACAAGAACATTTACAGCATCAGATACATCAATATGAAGATTAGTCGTTCCCGCTTGTTTTGCTTCTTTACTTGTAAGTTGACCTAGAATATATAGAAATTAATATTAATAAAGAAAGAAAGAAAATAGAAGCATAATTATTCAGTAAAAAACCTATCATGAGATACTCTTGCCACAAAACTATTCAGTCATTTTTTTGGTCACTTAAAGTTAGAAACAGTGAGTTAAAAGTAGACATTTTCACTCTTTCTAAATATGTGTTCAGAATTTCTTTTTGATGTAAGATCGTACAACTATCACCAAATTGTTTCAAAAATTCCAAAATAGTGATTGTACAAAATACTACTATGATCAATTTTGTCTTTTGATTAAAACCTATCAAA